TCTGGGTCAGCAATTGGAAAGTCTGTGGTCCCTCGAACTCAATCGGTCTTGAAAAGGTCGTCGGACGTCAGAGTAATCACAGACTACTCTCTACACAACACGACAATATTCTCTATAGAGTCGATCCCGACAACAACACCACATTCTAGAGAAAACATGGACTCAGAGACATCGACAAACAATTGCAAAACACTAAACTATTGTTGTTTGCAAATCGATGTATTTCGGGCTGTGAATGAGCAAATGCAAAACCGCTAACGTTGTGTTGTCTGTCATTATCGTTTTTCGCTTAACTTTAATAAAGTATAGTTACATGTGTAGGCGATTACCTTTCTGTAAAGCCTTACTATACTATATTGGATTGGCTCATTGTAGAAGGCAAGATCGCACTTTGTAGTTTGTTTACATCCTTGTCCTTTGGTGGATATTTGTCTCTCAGCTATCATACCACGTCTCCTTTTTTTTTTATAAAACTAACAACACATGTACGTTCACCTACAATTGAAATAAAACCAGCTGAAGCATTTTACTTTTATATATTGGTAACAGAGAATATAAAAACTCAACAAATTATAAACGATACCATATATATAACCGTATTTAATTAAAGAAATGCTAGCAGTTACTGAAAGCATGCTTAATGTATTACCGAAAGCAAGCTTAATGTATTACCGAAAGCAAGCTTAATGTATTACCGAAAGCAAGCTTAATGTATTACCGAAAGCAAGCTTAATGTATTACCGCAAGCAAGCTTAATGTATTTCAACTGCTGATTATTCCTACCTTATAACATAGACCACCGGCGTTTTAAACAGATTTTTTTTTATTTAGCAACTTTTAACAGTGTATCAATTAAAGACAAATGGTACAGAAACTCCAAATGTAGAAAAAATGGGAAACATAGCTTTATTTTGAATAAGTTGTATGTCTGTCAGTGTAATAAACAATTGTTTTATCAGGACAGATGGTTATCTTAAAAAGGCATTCTTTCAGTACCTTATACATTGTTGAAGAAACTGACGTGCGCTGTCAACGCTCTGTATTGTATTACAATTGTTACAATTGAAAACTAGTATTAGATCTGTGCGCCATAAGTAATTATGTTACAACATACATGTATATAGAAATAAGAAGATGTGATATGAGTGCCAATGAGACAACTCTCCATCCAAGTCACAATGTGTCAAAAGTAACCAATTAAATATTTATTAAACAACAGTCATGTAGTACCTTTATCCCAGTTCGTGATTTCCTTGGTGTAGGGTTGCTGCTTACAAGGAAGCTTTTGAATCAAGGGTTTATAACGGTAAAGAATTCAAGCAAACTTCTCTGACGTTTTACAGACACCGCCATGGCTTGGTTTGCCATTACTGAACATTTGACACAGAAACGACCACGAATATATTTCGTATCAAGATCTTCCTCATTTAAATGTGTATTACATATAAATCAATATGAATTACCACGCATTTTTAATTGTGTCCATTGACACTCGTGGTGTAGGAACTGTTCGCCCTTCCGGGGTTCCCGAGTTCACCCGCGGATTTTGATTGGTTTATGTTGTTCAATCTTTAAAAGCTTTTAATATACGTTTGTGTTTGATCATTACATTGCCTGTTCTTTTTCAACTTTAATTTGTATGTCCACTTGGTATTTTCGTTTCTTTTTTACTAATACATGTAGTGAGGAATACATTTGCTCTCTATTCTATCCTCGTTCACTATTGACTACATGTATATAGTGAAGAATCGCTGTTCATCCGGTCACTGTTGACTATAGTGAAGAATCGTCAGACTTTTCGTTTTCTGTTGGAAACATTTTGTTGCTATAAAAAAAAAAATTGGGTTATTATACAGTAATTTATTGTATTCTAGATAAGGGGACGACCATTTGATATTCTGGGGGGGGCCAGGAGGATTTTGAAAATAAATAACTCAGCCTTGATAATCACAAAAATAAATGGTTTGTTCTGTGGTTGTTTGAAAATAAATTACCTGACTTGCAATGTATTGAAAATAAATAACTCAGCAGGTCTAATCGAAAGTATGAGATGGCACCAGATTCTTCATAAATTCATCTTTTTTCCAAAAAAAAAAACGGGAAACACTTCCCATATCTTTTAATAATAAAAGTATAAATATTATTTAAATATACTTGAAATGTCAGAAAATTGGTTTCATTTAACTTGAGGTTAATTGTCTCAGGAACACTTACTTCACTTTTATTAAATCAGGGCCGTAACTACATGAGACAAATGCCTCATGTAGGAAATTTCAAAACCAAACGCTTGTCTCCATATCAAATTGTGTTCACCGTGAGTGCCTTGCAAGAAGCAAGTTCTGTTCTCCCTCAGACGTAGCCCCTGGTTTTTCGGGATCAATGTTTCTTATTTATTTGTCTTTTGTTCATTGATTGCCCTTCTGTATTCTGTTAGTGTTGCATTCATTTTGTAATTTAGTAATTTTATTATTAACTTGATCATGAGTTTAAAAAAACACAGCAGCCACAAACTTAACTATGTGAATTACATTTTTGCTTTATCATGCATATTTGTCTTTTGATATTGTTCCTAGAAACTTAAGTCTTACACTGAATCTATAACGTGATTTTGCTTTGAGACCAAAATATTGTCATAAAATTATTAAAACAGAACTTGCATTTTCAGTTTAAGAAAGGGTCTGGGGAACACCCAGAAGGCATGATTTTGCATCATTTGTTCTATAGCTTCTTGGGCCTTCAGCGGTTCAAAAACCCTTCAAAAAAAATTTTGCCTCGCTCCGCTCGGCGATCAATGTTTGCCAATACTTTTAAAAGAGCCTTAGTTACAACCAAACTTTAATACTGTGTATGTATGCATTACATGTATATGCATTGGGAAAAATAGAAGATTCATTTCTGCAGAGGATAATAATTAATTCTGATTAAATGGTACATAATGACTTGACTATACATGAATTATTTATAATAAACAAATAATTTAAAAATTGTATGTTTTCGAATATTATAAATATAGTTGTGAAAATAAATAATCAGTCCCTTGCTTTAATGAAAATGAAAAATCTTGCTTCAATAGTGCAGAAAATAGATAATCTGTCCTCTTAGTTTACAAAAATAAATAACCGATCCAAAACAAATCCTCCTGGCCCCCCCCAGAATATCAAATGGTCATCCCCTAACGATAAGAATGACATTTAATTTAAATAAAACACGCATAGTTGCTCACAAAATTAGTTTGACAAACAACAAGGAAATGGGTAAAGTCAAGTAAGTTAACTTCAATATATGAAATCCAACTAATTTATGATATGAAGCGTCAGGTACATCTTTTCCTTATATCTTATTTTGATTAAATTTAACTCGAAATGAATGGGTCAAATCAAATGTTACAGCTTTAACCAGTAGGCAAATATGTGGAGTATGTTTACCCGTACAGACCATGATATCACTCCTATTTATGTTCGTGTATACCCTGTTGAACATGATCAATTTAAAAGATTTGGTAAAATAATTCACAAAGTCAGACGCTTGACAAAAACAATAAAGGATCAGAGCTTTTATGGTAGTTCTTCCTTCTTCATTTAAAAAAGTCACAGTATCGAAATTTGATTCCCCCTTAAAGATAGATGGTTCTTTATCGCTATTTTACGAAATTTTCCTTTGATCTTGCTGGCTGATAATTTCCTTTCTCAGCGGAGTCGAGTGATATGAAAAATTATCGCTAGAAACTAAGGGGGCACCTGGCGTTGCTAATGAAATTGACATGAAATTGACAACGTCGTCATAGGTAAAATAGCGATAAACAGATTATCATTGGTCATCTCAACTCGATTGCTTTTCTCACTTTCGCCGTACCGGCTCAAGCGAGAAAATTAATCTCGTTGAGATGATCAACGATAATCTATAATTATCTTCTATTATAAAAATAAGAAAATGGGATATATGATTGCCAATGAGATAACTATCCACAATTAAGAGACCAAATGACACAGAAATTAACGACTAAAGGTTCATATATGACAAAGATAATTATGTACTAAATAAGACTTCGTGGCTTGCGGTAAAAAACAATGTATACTTAGTTGGTATGATGACCTGTTATGTTTATATTGGTCGCATTATGTTTTTATTTTAAACCAAGCAAAGTGTGGATTAAAGAAATAATTGAAGTTAAATGTTTAAATAATGTTTATTACTTAAATATTAAAATTGAGAATGGAAACGGGGAATGTGTAACAGAGACAACAACCCGACAAAAGAGCAGAAAACAGCTCAAGGCTACCAATAGGTCTCTAACACATTTATGCATTTGCAATTACTCATAATGAATGCAAATATATTTCTGCAAGTCTATGAACTTAAGATTATTCTTTCATATGCGGTCGGTTGTTTATCTTTTATAACTCAACGATGTCTTTCGCAGATTTCTTGTTGAAATTGTCGCTCATTCTCTGTAACGTGCGGATCCAGGATTTAAAAAAAAACGGGAAGGAGGGGGCACTTACAATTTAACGTTAGGAGGTTGACTTGTAAAAAGACTATGCATTAACCGTATATGTAGCTCCATAAGGTTCGTCCCCCCCCCCCCCCTTATTGTCTATGTTGTTTCTCCAGATGTACCCGTGAAATCGGTAAACGGCTGCCTGACACCTACATAACAGTTAAGCCACGGAAGCTTTTTCAGTTTCTTGTACTATATTTATAATACCATTCACCCACAAGCGACTAAAGATATACAAACCCCTGGTTATCATCCAAAGAGAAATTCTTGTCCGATGTAATTACATTCTGATTTAACTTAAAGCTTTGTATATATAATTGGTTTTAAATCCCTAGCTTTCATCCTCTCACACCTTTACCAGTGTTTACAATATCGTCAACGTTTAGTTTACATTGAGATTTTCTACTGCAGAATTTGACCTCCATAGTTAAACAAGAAGTAGTATTTACATTTTATTGGGAGATTTTATATCCCTGAGAGTACTTAAATCTGTGTATATTTATGGTGAATACCTGTATAATGTTTATAGCTTAGAATGTGACCAGTGATCGATACACTGCGTGTGATTAAGAACCAAATCATGGTAAGCTCTCAAATTATTTTTCTCCTATATTTATATATCGTTTTCATTTAAGTTTTTATTCTAATTTCTTAACTAATGCATGCATGTCTTTGTAAAGATTATATTTATACTAATTAGTGCAACGAACTACGTTTTATAGACATCCAATCGTTTATCTAATATCGCATGTATCGATATAAAAATGCTGCAGAAAACATATTAGCCTCGTTCTTTTGTGATAGCGTTTTGTTTTGTATTAATCATGACGGAAACCATTGTTTGTTTGTCTTAATTAAAGATTTTTGTTTAGTGATTTTATTAATAGATATACCGTTTCCCTGATCATTAAAGATCGCAATGAAGTTAAATGTATATGACATTGTGCAATAATTATGCAGTATTCATATTATATTTGAGTCGCATACAAAGTGTAACAAGCATTCATATTATAAAAGATTTTTCTAATTTTATTGAACGATATTTCAAAGGTGTTACTTTAAGCAATGAAAATGTAAACATCAAGCTTTATTGAAGACTTAATTCCATCACTGGGTACATATTAGAATAAATTGAACCCGCATTTAAATGGTTATATATGTCATCAAAGTCATTTAAATTCTTTAAGAAAGTACTCTGTCACTTTTGTCAATCGAGTCACGGATAAGTTGTAAAAATTTGATTAAATTTAAAAATTAAAAGCCTGTGATTTATTTTATTCGGTCAGATTATTGCTATGAGTATGTGTTATAAGGAGGGTTACAACTTTACATTAATATCACAGGATTGTATTAAATCATGTTAGAACTAGAAATCAGATACTTATTTAAATCAAAGATGCAAAGTACAGTTCAATCTAAATTCTAAAGATCTTCAATTTTACTTTATTGAATATTTATAACATTGAAAACTCCCATAACTAAACTGTTTTTACAGAACACATCAGATCTTATACACAAATTACTGTTAGATTTAAAATAGATTTGATTACGACGTAAACCCCCACACCTCGAATAAATCAGTATTATATCTAGATGGCTGCCTAAATGACAATCTAGATAGACAAGTAGAAGACCGTTGAAACTAGACCAGAAAGATGCATTAATAATATCAGAAGATGCAAACGATAGAAACATGCAAACAAACTATTCTACAAACTAAAGCCTGGAATAGTTCAACTCCACGAGTCGTATCAGCTCCTCTTATTGCGAACGTGTACTTCTTCTATAAGTTTATTTTATTATAAGCATTCATATCAAATAAGAAACTCTGAGTAATGTGAAGCATTTGATATCTAAACTCTGAGTAATGTGAAGCATTTGATATCTAAACTCTCAGTAATGTGAAGCATTTGATATCTACAGCTGTAAGTGTTTCCTTTTCAGTATGGTTTCGTCAATTATGCTTTGGAGTTGTTGGTTCTCCGGAAGTTTGGTGAAGAAGCATGGGAAGCTATCAAGTACGTACATGTACATGCAATCATGGGATAATTGCTAGTCGGGCTTCATTTAATAAACCAGGAAAGAGCGTTTGAACTTTTTCAATCAAAACTATATGTAAATTGTTTTTATTCTATATGTTATGACTTCAAGGGTTAATATTCATGCTTTGTGTGAAAAAGTTTCATTTGCAAATTCGTATTTCCAAAAAAAAAAAAAAAACAAATACTGCAATACAAACATATTTACCAGCTATGTATATATATATATATATATATATATGGCAGTCAGCAGGGTTTAAGAACATTTGTTGTTCGACCTGTTAGTCAAATGCGTTTTGTTAAAATATACTTTTTCACTTTTTTGGTCTTTTGGAAAATGTTGTTTGTGCTGTATTTAGACCCCTCTAACAAGAAATTTGTTTTGCATGCACACGTATAAAAATTGCGGTTTTTATCCAACGCAATCATAGGTTTGAACGTTGTTTTCAATTTAGACTTGTATATATATATATATATATATAGCACAAGATATGTCTAGTACAAAGTCATGTATAATGTATATGATAAAGGATCTGATCAGTGGATGACGGATATTTGGACATTAACAAATTTGTATCTAATCTCACATTGAGTAATCTGGCTAAAAACTTAATCACATACATTAATCAGTGAAATCAACAGCTGCATCATTCAATTTATAACGGTGTTCAATGTTAGAAAGACAAATTAGTGTAATTTATTACATTTTGTTACATTTTTTTTAATGTTAATATGTGATGCCTTTTGCTTTTAAAATATTTTTTTCCTCTCAAATCTGTTTCTTTTCGCAAATGATCAAATTAGTTCGTTTGCTGATTAATGGGGAAAAAACCAACAGAATAAAATAAATTGATTGAATTGAAAGGGTGTTCATCCCCATTACTTACTTATCTAATGTTATGCAGGAATTCTCTATATTATGTCATTACGTATGCATGTATAGATCATATTAAAAAAAGACTTCAAAATTGTAATATGCTTCTTTAATAATCACGTGGCATTTAGGAGAGTAAGAGCAAGGGCTGGTCGTCTCGGGAGTTCGAATAGGGTGTCTATCATGTACTATTTGTGACCCCGGGAATCATCAATGAAATCAATAAAAACCAAAATGTTGCTTCACAAACCAATTGTTAGTTGAATGTTATTGACATCCTCTAGATCTACCGCTTTGCATATACAGAAAATTGTGAAAAAAAGAACATACATTTGTATGTGTTATTAAGAAGAAATCACATTTAAGAATTTTAAAACATTATTGTGTTAGAGTCAATATACATATCAACATAAAGTAAGATGCATTATGATTGCCAATGAGGCAACTACTAGTATACATCAGAGTCCCAAGGACGAGGCGGTACGTAGTCAATAACAGAATGATCCCGTCAAACCATCAATAGGAATGGCCAATAATTCCCGAATTTGTTACATTCACGCGGTCAAAGTTTGAGACTGGATAAAAAATAGTTTATTTGAATAATAAAGAGTATGCAACTTTACTTGTTTTTGTTAAATGTTGTAAACAATAACAAATTAACTGAATTAATTTGTAACTGAAAGACAATACACAGCTTTAACTTCCAACACAATTTTGATTTTGGTTAAAAAGTTTCTATCAACTTTTTTGATAGATGCTCGAAATTTGCCGAAATGTTTCAAGATTTCAATTTTGAGCCATCTGTTATGTATGTCCTGTTTCGACAGCGTTTCCCATATACAATGTACCAATTCGTATAAAATTTCCTTCTTATCAATTTCAAATCATATATTTTCTACCTCACAATCACCTGTCTTTATTCGAAGTGTACATCATGAAGCTGTCTAAATGTTACGATTTGTTTTTATTATCCCAATACAAACGCCAAAATACAAATTATACAAACATGTGCCATACCATTTAATGACATTCAATATTTTAAACGTTTCATTTATTCTACGAGCTATACCCATAACCAAAAGCTGTGTTGATATCATGTTTTTTCTCCTTTGTTTTCAGAAAAGAAGCCGAGTTGGAAATGGAGGGACATTTCCTCGTCCGTATGGTATATGAAGATTCTTTGTCCTATGATTTGGTTGGAGCAGCGTCTAAAGTATTAAGTAAGTCATCACTTCTATCAATTTCCAGGGATTTAAGTCGACCATGATCGTACGTATAGTAAAAATGTTACTAGTATGTGAAAATAACCATTATTTAAGTTTCCAGAACGAGGACGAAGACATTGATCTCTTAATTTTTCATGTAACAATTGGTGCCTTTCTTCAGACAAATACAAGAACATATTCAAGTTAACCCTTTTATGAGATCTTTATATCATTTTGTTAGGCGAAAAACAATAAAATAATTCCTTCATTTGTTTTTATTTGCAAAAATATAGCCTAGCCGAATCCGTTACAGCAACATGACAAGTAAGATTAAGTTTGACATGTTAAGTCTCCTGGGGATAGTCTCAGATATACCCTTTAATCAGAATAGAGATAACCGTTTAACTTTTACTTACAGATAATCATGACTGCTGCACTTTATATTACTTTTCAATGATCGGAAGTATATTTTTCTTAGTGATATGAATATGATAAATTATCTAGTTAAGATTAAAAGGAGAAAAGTAAAGATTTAAGTCAGATTGTGTCTTCCTGACACGGCGAATCTGGGTTTTAACAGCGGGGAAAAAGTGTATGAATGGTACTCAACAAACTATATAGATAGTGACTATCTCTGAAATAAGAGGTTGGATAATTGGCAGGACGACACATACTTTCACAAAAGGTCCCATATAAAAACTTAACATCTATAAATTCATCAGAGATATCAAGCTTATAAGCATCTTAGCTTTAAATAACTGACTGCAATCCAAGACACTGGTGGTAATAATAATTTATCACATAAATTTACCTGCTGATAAAATTCAAAATAGCAACATTTTCATGAAAACTTTTATTTTCAATAGATAATGTATAAAATGTTTGAATTATTGTGAGATACTCAAAGGTTCTTGTGTTTGTTTTGTTATGTAAAAGTTCGCGAAAACAGGCATTTTAGGCAGGAAAAAGATGTTAATCGGTTTCTTCTATAAAATGAATGGGACGAAATTAATGTTTAACTCTAAGAAAAAATGTGACATAAACGTATTAGATTTGTTTTTATCAAAAGTGTATTGTAACCTGATGTTTTCAAATAGATATCTTGGTAAATATAGGGATAACCAGAAAAACACATTAAATGCAATGCCAAGATAAATTGAGTAGGGTAACAAAATGTTTATAAAAATTAAGTTGAAAATATAAGCATCACAATCCCTCATTTATACCGTAACAAAGAGAAACGTTGACATCAAAGTCTGATATTTATTTTTAAAATACATTGACCAACGTATGCACGAATTTGGTCTGTTTGAGTAGCAAAGGACATGTGAGTAAAGTCAAATGACATTGACCATGATCTACTTATTACACTTTAGAAAAACCTCTCAGCTATGTTTTCCTGTGTGTCTAACTTAAACTTAGGATCCAACTGCCATGAGCAAATTTACCACATATAGGTTTGAAATTATTATAGTGGAGGCCCTGGCATTTTGGAATTTATAGCTTCTCCTGAATCTATCTTGTGTAGTAATATTCACGGTAACAATTTTTCTGCACCCAGTGTGCATTTCGACAATAAATGTCTCTTCAGTGATGTTCGAGGATAGAATATTTGAAAATGCAAAACTTATGAAAAATTTAAGAGCTTATTAACCAAAAAGAACAAAAAATAAAGACACAGCCGGGAAAATGATTATGAATTAAGCGGTCTGTTAGGGAGTCTGTTAGAAGCACATGTATCACACGGAGTTATCTTTTATTTTTATTGCAGATGTACCCGCAGGACAAATCCTGGAATTATTTGGCAAAATGTTTTTCGACTTCTGTCAAGAATCAGGATACGATACAATTTTACAAGTTCTTGGAGGAACCACGAAAGATTTCTTACAAAATCTTGATGCCCTTCATGACCATCTAGCTACGATCTACCCAGGTATGCGAGCTCCGTCATTCCGTTGTACAACTCGGGATTCAGACGGCGCAACTGTCCTCCATTACTATTCAGAACGTGATGGTCTGGAACCAATCGTAATAGGAATTGTCAAAGAAGTAGCGTTAAAGCTACACAACACTGAAGTTAATGTAGATATTATTCAGACAAAAGGCGAAGAGTGCGACCATGTTCAGTTTGCTATAACTGACAAAAGTACAGACGCTAGATCAAGCATTTCCGAAATAGAGGGATTCGAACAAAATCTTTCTATGGACCCCAAAATCAGTCCAGCTACATTCTGTAGAGCCTTTCCATTTCATGTTCTATTCGATGAAAATATGATCATTCAACAAGCTGGTACATCGTTGATGAGAGTCATACCAAAACTTAGAATAGGTCACTCTAAAATTGACATGATTTTTGACATGGTAAGACCACACATGGATTTCTACTTTAATCATTTACTCTCCCATATTAATACTGTTTACGTTTTAAAAACTAAATCTGCTATTGGTGGTGACTCAAGTGGATTGTACATAGACCATGATATTGGAGAACAACACGATCACTCTCACCTTCGACTTAAAGGACAAATGATCCATGTCACTGAATCTAATTGTATGTTATTCTTGTGCTCGCCCAGTGTCGCCAACTTAGATGAATTGTCTCGACGTAACTTATATCTGAGCGACATTCCACTTCATGATGCTACCCGTGATCTCGTGTTGCTATCTGAGAAATTTGAAGCAGAGTATAAACTGGCCCGTAAACTAGAAATTCTGAACGATCAACTGCAACAAACACACAGGGAACTGGAGGATGAGAAAGCAAAAACAGATAAGTATGTGGAATGTTTACAAATGTTTATTCCTTTGGCAAATGTTTGAATTATTTCGGTTTTTTATGGACTTTCCCTTTTTGAATTTGCATTTGAGTTCGGTACGTGTGTTAATACTATTTAAATTGACAAGAAATGTATCTTATTCTTGAAAAAAGTAAACAAAATTGATAGAAGGAAAATTTAACTACAAGAATGTAAGTAGTAAAGAAGAACATTTTTCAGATAATGTGCATCAAAATTGCAACATGGCAGGAAACGATGCATTTAAAGAGAAAACGCATTGAACATATTTATTATCGTGTTTTTAAAGTTTTCTTTTTACCATGAAAACTTACTCATGTTTTCAGTAAGCCATTACACTTTGTGTGATCTATTTACAGGTTAATGTATTCCATTCTTCCAGCCTCTGTTGCAAATGAATTACGTCATCAAAGACCAGTTCCTGCAAACAAATTCGATAGTGTCACTATTCTCTTTAGTGGGATCGTTGGATTCAGCGAATTTTGCCAGAATCACTCAGATGCGCATGGAGCTATGAAAATTGTTAAATATCTAAATGACGTTTATACAAAATTTGATGATCTGTTAAAGAATAACCCAAATGTATACAAGGTAATAGATAAAATGGTATTTCTTCTGAAAAATATTCATAAGATTCCAATCTTTCTGTTATTTTTATGCCCCCGTCGTAGCGGAGGGGGCATTAAGTTTTACCCTTGTCCGTCTGTACGTCCATACGTCCGTACGTACGTCCGTACGTCCCAAAGTTGGTTTCCGTTCTCTAACTTTAGCTTGCCTCAACCAAATGTTAAGAAACTTATACACAATGTTTATTACCACAAAGCACAGATCAAGTTTGAATTTTGGTGGTGTCACATAAACGGTTCTAGAGTTATGCCCCTTTACAAATGGAAAAATTTCTGAATTTTTCTTTTCCGTTCTCTAACTTTAGTTTGCTTCAACCAAATGTTATGAAACTTATACACAATGTTTATTACCACAAAGCACAACCAAGTTTGAATTTTGGTGGCTTCACTTCAACCGTTCTAGAGTTATACCCCTTAACAAATGGAACTATTTCTGAATTTTTCATTTCCGTTCTCTAACTTTAGTTTGCTTCAACCAAATATTATGAAACTTTTACACAATGCTAATTACCACAAACTACAAATCAAGTTTGAATTTTGGTTTTATCACTTAAACGGTTCTAGAGTTATGCCCCTTTTCAAATGAAAAAAATGCTGAATTTTTCGTTTCCGTTCTCTTACTTAAGTTAGCATCAACCAAATGTTTTGAAACTTATTCACAATGTGTCTTACCACAAAATACAGATCAAGTTTGAATTTTGGTTTTATCACTTTTACTGTTCTAGAATTATGCCCCTTTACAAATGGAAAAAATGCTGAATTTTTCGTTTCAGTTATCTAACTTAAGTTTGCCTCAACCAAATGTTATGAAACTTATAGACAATACTTATTACCACAAAACTCGGATCAAGTACAAATTTGGGTAGTGTCACTTTTTCTGTTCTTCAGTTATGTCCCTTTATAACTGTATATGATATGCAAGCGGGGGCATCATCTGTGTCCCATGGACACATTCCCCATTTATGTTTTATATTATAGTCAGATATCGGCAAGAAATACCCATTAGAGGCTTTATATTATTAAACTTTATTTTTGCTAACTTTCAGCAAAATACATATATCATTAATTTCTAATTTAGGTAGAAACAGTAGGTGATAAATATATGGCAGTAAGTGGACTTCCGGAAGCATGTAAAGATCATGCGCGAAGTATAGGGAGACTTGCGTTGGATATGATGGCGATATCTAAACACATTATAGATCCAACGGGTGAAAGGGTGATGGTAGGTTCATATCTAAAACTAAGCAAGTAAAGCTTATAATTTTTTTTTCTTTTTTGAAAACATTATAAAAAAATCTGAAGAATCTGCAGGGGTTAATTTGCCGATCAGGGCTAACAATTTACTTGCTTTTATTTCTTCTAAGTTATCCGATGTTCTTTATCTCCTTTGTGTCTTAATGTGCGAGTCTTTTCGTTTAAGTAAAACAACTCAAAGTTTCGCGTTTCTTCTATTTGCACATTTCGGGGAGGCGAGGGGACATCTTTCTAATTGTGTCTGAAAACTTTCGATGTGATCATTGTTTACAATTTTGAACAGATAACCATTGGTATTCATTCTGGGGAGGTTATGACTGGAGTTATTGGAAAGCGCATGCCCAGATATTGCTTGTTTGGAAACACTGTAAATATCACCAGCAGGACTGAAACAACGGGAGTCAAGGGCCGGATTAACGTTTCAGAGTCAGCTTACAAGTGAGTATAATATTTTCTTGTGAAAGAGAGGCGAAAGATACCAAAGGGATATTCAATCTCATAAGTCAAAAATAAAATGCCATGGCAAAAAACTAAAAAGACCAGAAGAAATATAACAGTATACAAAACACAACATAAAAAACTAGATTAAGCAACACGAACCCCACCGAAAAACCGGGGTGATTTCAGGCGCTCCAGAAGGGAAAGTAGATCCTTCTCCACCTGTGGCACCCGTCGTTTTGCCCGTGAAAGTACAAACCTGGTGATAACTCTAATTCAGTAGATCACATTCAGAGAAAATAGGACGGTACCTTTTGTTAAGACAGTTGGAACATATCCGTCGTCATTTGTGAACAGATGTCCCATAACAGTCAACCCTGATGGTGTCCGTAAAATTTTCGAAGTGATGATTTCAACTTTGTAAATTCATATTACTGAAATTCTAAACAGAAGAATGATGGTTGTCTTTTACACGTACGAATAAAGGGTCTTCTTCAGTGAGACATCAACCATACACCTCAAAACAAAACGTTATTTACATCTCAATAGACAGGTTTCTATGCAATATGTCAAACTCTGTATTGCCAGTTCAAAGTTGTAATGTAGTGATTAAAGTACACAAAGACTATCAAGATCTGCTATTACAGACAAATTCTCCAAAAATACAAAAAGAACACAATGATACATATGACAAACACAAAAAAAACTCTAACGAAATTCCGGATTTTGGACCTGTTAAAATAAAAACAACCTTTTATAAATGCCATGCGTACGAAGCACTTTTTCTGGATTAAATGTACTTTCCGCAGGATAAGACTAATTTCTTTGAGGTCTCAACCATCCACTTTTAATCTCGATCTGTGGACAAACAAAATGTACATAAAAATTCATATCATAAAAATAAGTGCAGTCAAAGCATTTATATTCGTAACTCTAAATAACAATATACTACATAGAAAAAACACAAGAACACAAATTTATAATAATTGTAATTGTTATGATATCATATCAAAGAATGCTCTCGGTTGCTGGAAACAACCTCAAAGACTTAACCTTTTAATATGAAATCATTCCATTGTATACCTTAAATCCAATTTCTGTACTTTAAAGAAAATTTCTTATTATAGAAGATTGCTTACAGCAACGTCATTATCACAAACAAATGTATAGATCCAGAACTTTTGTAGAAAAACAGAAGCATTTTAATCTTGCTTCAAACTACAAATTAGTTATTTTATTTTTATTCCAAAAATATGTTTTTCATCAGGTAGGCTCGGATCAAACGTTTCATAAAACAATATCATGTGAGGCCATAAAAGCTCAATGGGTCTTATTAGAACAGTAGAAAACAGTCTAAAGACATCGTTACCAGATGGAGTTGTAATCTAAGTTCGATGACTATTTCATAATTTTTTATTTGACACTGTTGTCTCATTAAACGACGAGGTCGCTTTATAACAAATTAAGAATACAAATAAGGAGATGCGGTATGATTGCTAATGAGACAACTTGTCACAAGAGACGAAATGACGAAGTTTATTTATAAGTTTTAATAGGCTTTGAACTAACTGTCAGTAGCTGCCAGGTCGTGTCTTTGTGTATTTTGTCATTTTGTTGGCTTTTATTGAGCTAAGTACCAATCAGATTTTTACAGTTGTTTGATTTTTGATTTGTGACATCACTATCCGAGGTTAAGGATGTTCGCTACTCTTGTTTTTGACAGATATTCGGAATCCTCTAGTTTTATCCATGTAGTGCCAAATAAAATGTTTTGCCCACTAACCCCTTCTTTTCTCTTTATAATTTTATAACATATAGTTTAAAAAGGTCATTTTGATAATAATATAAATCTTATAAAATCCTTGTTATTTTTTCATAGTTATTTAGAGAAAAAAGGAGCCAATTTTAAATGTATGAAAAGTCTAGAGAGAAACATTTCCCGCCAAATTTTCAAATGATTATATCTCAAAAACAAGGACACGGAACTTATCATTTTTTTTTCTGCATTTTAAGTACAGTTATTTATAAACTATCAATTTATAATGGTCTTCTAAAAAGCTAACTATTTTGAAACGGAGGAGCAAACATCCTTAAGGAAGGTTCTGTATGTGCTCGCTTACATTAAACCCAGACATATTCTTTATGTTCCTTTACCAAGCAACTGTAATGCAGTTGTTGTCTTCCACACATGTGGTTCGTTAATTGCTTTAGCATAGATCAAGCTGTTGGGTTTTGATCGTTAATTGCTTTAGCATTGATCAAGCTGTTGGGTTTTGATCGTTAATTGCTTTAGCATTGATCAAGCTGTTGGGTTTTGATCTTTAATTGCTTTAGCATTGATCAAGCTGTTGGGTTTTGATCGTTAATTGATTTAGCATAGATCAAGCTGTTGGGTTTTGATCGTTCATTGCTTTAGCATAGATCAAGCTGTTGGGTTTTGATCGTTAATTGCTTTAGCATTGATCAAGCTGTTGAGTTTTGATCGTTAATTGATTTAGCATAGATCAAGCTGTTGGGTTTTGATCGTTAATTGCTTTAGCATAGATCAAGCTGTTGGGTTTTGATCGTTAATTGCTTTAGCATTGATCAAGCTGTTGGGTTTTGATCGTTAATTGATTTAGCATAGATCAAGCTGTTGGGTTTTGATATTGTATTGTTTCACATTTCATTATTTCGGTCCTTTTGTAGCTTACTATAGAGAATGGCATTTGCTTATTGTTGAAACATCCTTGTTGTTTTGTCTTTGGTAGATATTTGTGTCATTGGCTATCAATTCCAGATCGTTTTGTCTTTGGTAGATATCTGTTTCATTAGCTATCATACCACATCGTTTTGTCTTTGGTAGATATTTGTGTCATTGGCTGTCATCCCACATCATTTTGTCAAGTAGATATTTGTGTCATTTGCTATCATCCCACATCTTTTAGTCTTTGGTAGATACCTGTGTCATTGGCTATCAATCCCAGATCGTTTTGTCTTCGTTAGATATTTCTGTCATTGGCTATCATCCCACATCTTTTTGTCTTCGGTAGATATTTGTGCCATTGGCTATCATCCCACATCGTTTTGTCTTCGTTAGATATTTCTGTCATTGGCTATCATCCCACATCGTTTTGTCTTCGCTAGATATTTCTGTCATTGGCTATCATCCCACATCGTTTTGTCTTCGGTAGATATTTTTGTCATTGGCTATCATCCCACATCGTTTTGTCTTTGGTAGATATCTGTGTCATTGTCTATCATCCCACATCGTTTTGTCTTTGGTAAATATTTGTGTCATTGGCTATCACCCCACATCTTCTTCTTTCAACATTGTGGTCTTTAAACTCATTAATACAACACAGAGGGTTAACTAAGAAACAATTGCATTCAAGCATTTTATTTCAATAAGTTAATTCGTTTGTCAAATGTATTATTTAGTTGCAAATGAAACAATCCATTCACATAGGAGACCAGATAAAAGGGTTAATCAGAAGTAAATAAAATTCCTATGGACTAGATGACCTTTACCATTGCATGTTGTGTGGGATGAATGATCAGAGTTTTAATATCAGTTAGATATCAAAGAAATGCAATAACACGGTACAGTTAGCAATTTGTTATAACATGCTTTATAACTGTTTCCATGTCGCTCTAGTAATTTCTCACATCAGGGAACAGGCGATGAAAGTTCCAATATTTTTTGCTATTTAAGCTTATTTCTATCGATTGCATGCTGTAATGAAAAGGAATATTATACCTGATTTACTGCTACATTCAGTAGTATACAATTATATAGTGGGTAATCGACGATTTCATAGTAATAAAATTGTATTCAACTATTATGCTGTAATTGTGTGAAACCTTCCATAATAGAAGAGTTTATATTTATAAGAAACTATGTTGAATTTATATGATGATATAACGCGCTCTGGATGGAGATCGCCTTGTTTACTGTTCAAAACTTTAGCATTAATGACTATACGCGTCTTAGAGCATGCAATGCTCGTCGACTTTTCTGAAAATCATTTACCAGTAGTCTTCTGACAAATTCAGGAACGGACACCTATACCAAATTTTATGATTAACACCTTTCCCTTTCCTATTTTGAATTTTCTTTTTCAAGATTATGATGAACAGTTGGATTCTTTAATGGAGTTAATATTTTTCAGGTGGTTCAATATGCGTGTGTTTGCAGTGAAGTCTCGGATTTTTAATGAACATAAAATTTTCTTTACCAACAAGCGTTTATAGCAGGGATATGGATATCATTATAAGAGAGGCGAAATATACCAAAGGGACATTCAAACTCATAAATCGAAAATAAACTGACAACGCCATGGCTAAAAAAGAAACAGACAAACAATAGTACACAAAACACAACATAGAAAACTAAAGACTGAGTTACACGAACCCCGCCAAAACGTGAGAGTGATCTCAGGTACCCCGGAAGCGTAATCAGATCCTGTTCCACAAGTGGCACCCGTCGTGTTGCTCATGTTAGTACAAACCCGGTGATAAGTCTAATTCGGTAGGTCATATTCTGGGAAAAGGGGACGGGATTGTAGTTACGATAATTGGAACATATTAATTGGTCAAAACTTGATTCCACGTGCAGGACTTTTAATTAAAAGTTTTATTTCTCATCGAGATATTTACCATGTTTATAGTATATTGTTTATAAAGTTAACAAATATAACAATTGGCCTTAACACCTGTCTATTCGGCTAAATAGACTTATTCAATATGGTTAAAGTTTCACGGTTTTCTGTTCAATCACTGCGTTCTGTACTTTTTTACTGCTTAACCTTTTACCTCATTTGGTATATTAACAATAAGGGTAGTCATAGTGGTTGGTCAGCAAAAATCGTTGGAAACGGTATTTAAATTTCCAAAAAATGATTATGGCCTTGTTTGATATCTGATTACCAAATGGTTTCAGAGAAGATATTTGGAACATAACGGTAGGCTGACGGACGACGGACAATATGAAAGTTCTCTCCTTCGTTCCCGATAAGCTAAAACGATGACCAATAGCAATAGAAGGTAATGATTGGAATAAAAAGTGTGGGTTGACGTCTAGTGACATGCAAGTTTATCAAGAAACAAAATATAATGTCTCATTTATGAAAGGAAACATGCAATGGCATTTAATGGAAACAAAATTGAATCTCTCGAATATTAACTATGATACATGATTCTTTTGTCTTCTGTATAGGTTTCTGCAGACAGAAGAATGTTTTGATCCTGAGTTTGACTTGCAGTATAGAGGATCAATTCAAATGAAAGGAAAACCAGAACCTATGAGATGCTACTTCCTGTCACGGAAACCTATTTTTAGACCAGGAAATCTTGTAAAGAGGGCTACCATTAAGTAACCGTCGGCTTTTTAGATATTTATTTAATACATTTATCGTTTAATTTATTTAGAGATATATTGTTTATTGTTGATGTCAATGAGATAATAAAGTTAGAAACATTTTGTTCCTTCTCAATTATATATAAAGTGGATAATACATACGATACAAGTAAAGATGTAAAACGTATGTACGGCAAATTGATTGGAATATTTTTAAAAACAATAAATTTGGACGACTCGTTCTTGAAAAAAAATACAGCGAAAGCATTACTAAAAACAACTATAGAAATGTGAATCAAATAGATCTATCTTTGAATGAAGAATGTCGCTCATATGTAATGTATTTGACCGATGAATTTGCAAACATTGAGGAAAATAAATTATCAACATTATGATTCTCAAAATTATGTTTTTTTATAGAAAAAAAAACCATGATACAATCTAGTCAATTTAGTACGTCTGTTACACCATAAAACTTTAAAAATATCTTTGACAATAATAACCTTTCTTGTAATATTAGATAAAAGCTACTGTTTTACCAAAAAAGATATTTTTCTCTCATGATAAGTCGTCGTGCAACAAAATATCTTTCATAGTAAGGCGGTTGCTCTTCGGGGGAAATAACTGATCAACCCACAGCGATATCGACCCAGTAGTAAGCTTTAAGTCTCTTATCAAATTATCAAGTAGCATTTAATTTGTCATACACAGGGAAATTTCACTCACATCAATTTCACATGAATTTCAATTCATGTGAATTCCACCTCATACGAGCTTATACGTGAAACTCACGTGAAGTCAGTTCATGTAAGTTTCACGTGAATCTCATGTGAAACTCGTGTGAATTTCACGTGAAAATCACATGAACGTTTTTGACGTGAAATTCACGTGAATTTTTAAAATAAAGTGATTCAAATAACATCTAAATTCACGTAAAATTCTCTCAGCTTTCTTCGAGTTATGGTTTTGATGTCCATGTCTTCATATCCCTTTTTTAAATCACTTTACCCTATTCTTTGAGTACCTTTCAGAACTATACTGACATGATTGATTTATATATGGACCATAGAACACTTGATTTTATCTAGGGAAATTATAACTCTTGCAAAAACGTGTTCAATTCAAGAATATAATAATTAAACTTTGTGTTACTGTAAATCATCCTACATTAGCAACAAAACAAGAAGGGAAAGTCCAACATCTTTTTTATTTATTTATTTAAAGCGGTAAATCTAAATAAAGTCCCAACAAAATAGTATTTTATAGATAACCAAGTCATTAAGAATAATTTGCTTGTTTAGTATATAGAACTGGTATATTAAGAAACTCATTATCAATAGTACATGTATCAATTTAACTCTCTTTTAGGTGAATTTTAGGATAAAGTTTATTGCATAGAAATTCTAGTGTCTATCGACGGTAAACTTTAATTAAGTTAGTTGACTTCTATGTTTTTAAACCTAATCATTATAACTTTGAATAGAACTATTCCATTCAAACATTACAAGAGATGTTTTTAATTAAATAAACTGCGGAAATACTCAAATTAGTAGTTATGTGTTCTGAGTTGACTTTCTTTTTTTAATTAGTTTCATTGGTTATGTGACAATATTTATGCCGTTAAAAGGACTTGTGAAGTACATGCAATAGGTGACGATAGCAAGATCGAGACAGCACCTTAGCAATACAAGTAAAACAAAATATACATCTAGAGGTCACCACACGACCGTTGGTGTACAATTTACTATATATAGCCTCTTGAATGTGATAATTTCAGTCTTGTTAACCAAAATTATTCATTTAAATTTGACGATTTTATAAACGTACACGTAATGGGTAGTTACTATTTGATTGGAGGTGCCTGTTTTCGTTATACCCTTTTATAATAACCAAAATTTTACCAACCTATTTATACTATCCCTTTTTAAACTACCCACAAGAAACTAGACCAACCACGAGGCAAAAACAAACAACAATACCTTGTTCTGACAATATCAATTCGTTTAACATCATTATTGATTGTCTTTATCGCAGTAGCCATATGTCAGTTTTACGACATTTTAAATAAATTTTATTCAATTTATGTCTTTTTACCCTGTGTCATCTGGTGTAAAAATTGGATTACAGCGGTGGTAACATTCATCGCCAATTTCAAACTATTAGGCTTTAGTGCTTAAACAAGAAGATTTAATCATGCAGTAAACAAGCTAATAGCATTTTGTTGTCACAAAGTAAATTCCTTTACAGTCCGAATTATTCCGTAGAAGAGATGTTTTTATACTTAAAAAATATCGTTGTCAACTAGAATTGCACTAATTTTACTGTTTTAATTAACAAACATTGAATTTAATTATAAAAGATTATATAATTCCATATATTGGTAACAAATTTGATTGCCTTTAAATCTGCAACTGACCAAAACATTAAATTTATCATCAAGACGATAACCTTTTATCAATCAGTCGTCGCTCATTACTCATTTGATCTTGTCGATTGTATTCCCTATTCGATATCTCTTGACGAATTTCCTAAGGTCGAAATATTGTGTCATCATATTAATATGTCTTTGTTTTTGTTGTTGTTTTTTTTGTTTTTTTTTTTTTTGCTTGTTCAGAGTTTTGGTGTTTTAAAGATTTTGCATAATTGTAGAATAATGGACCATAATAACAACAACAACGTCGGTTACAATTAGACATTTGCTCCATATAATATACTAATGTAGTTCGAACTAAGGTATATATATATATTTTATTCTGAAAAACCTTTGTTGATACAATGGTATACAGAAACACCGAGACATACATAATAATATTATAAGACATATGATAAATGTGATGAGGTAGCAACAGAAGGCAAAAGTACATTGCATATTGACTTATTTAGAAAACCCCTGTTTTCGTCTGTAACTCATTATTTAACTAACATCAAATATAAAAGAAAACTCAAAATAATTCACCTTTGAACTAAGGAGGAGTTACAATACTCATGTTTTTACAATGCATGTTAGGGTTAAGAAAAACAGAAAAAAAAAGATTTTACAGTCTGTGCTGTACTGAATCGTAAGAGGAAATAATTGTGGTCTGAAATCCTGCTGTGCAATATCATTTTACACGTTTTGAAAATCTTTAGATTATACACATGTATCTGATTTAAATGGTCAAAGTTGCATGGAGCCGTTGTGTGTGTAGTTTCTATATCGATTCAGTATGCTCTAGCTATTGAGTAATGTTTCAAAGTCGGACAAGTCAAAATATTGTCGGACAATACATTTATATCTTACAAAGAAATCTATTTGGAATATCAGCACTATCGACTATAAATTGTGATATTATACAAACAATATGTGTTTGGTATAGGTATTGTCTACACTGACTTAGATATTTTTTAAACTACACTAACACGGATTTATACAAAGACACAATAATATCGAACGTTGTAGTCAAAATAATGAAATGTAAATAAATGTAACCGAATCAACATATAACTCTTCTCGTTCTTAAATTGGCAAATTTCTCCAAGATGATACTAGTTCAAAATCCATTTATATGACAGGATGTAAGTATAATGGGTATTCTGCATTGACCATGTTGACATTTCTTTGTTATCTTAGGACATTTCAATTCTTTTTACAAATGCAATTACCATCAACTTTTGTAAATATACCGCTCTATAAAGCTTAAATTTCTATATTATATCATTTGATATTGGATATTATGTGTACAAACATCCTACCGTTTATTCCACATAAATACAATATTAAGAGCCAATCTGTCTAAGGATCAGGCAGTGGTGAAAACATAACAAACAAAAACCCACTCAAGTTGACATTAATTTATGTTTAAATTGTATAATGATGCACGAATATAACATTCGTTTCCTTTTCCTGTTCTGGTAATTCAAGATATAATTGGTTGAAATCCACTAGAAATTTACAATTAAAGGGAGCTAACTCCGTAATTTGCTATCATTCTAATTAAAAGTTATCAAGAGATTTCTTGAATTACCAGACTCGCAGAAACCGAAAGACCTACCATTTCTAACTCAGGATGAGGGTAACTTCAAAATATAATGGTTAGGTCGGTTGGTATTTTTTCGGCCATGTTTTGAAATTTTTCTCATTTACCCGATTCTTAAAAAAGACTGGGCACAAAAAATATGATTAGATATTTTACTGTTGAAAATGAAAGGGATATTACAAAAATGATAATTTAGTTTCAATCTTTATTTAAGATTTCACAGCATCCTTCAGATTATAGGAAAAGGTTTTATTCAAAGAAAACTGTCCAACTCTTGCAGTGCGCAAACAACAATCAATCAAAACAAAATATAAGGTCTCGTCTTAAAATTGTTTTTCTCATCGATGAATGTTCTTATCATTTGCTTATACCAATTCATTTCAAACCATTAAAGCTGAAAATGACTTATTTTGCCAACCAAGAAGCAGCGATTTATCATGACCGTTTTGCACGCCATGATGTTTGCTTTAATGAGGCAAGAAATGGTATAAAGGCAATGGCAGTCAGTTAGGGTTATCGCACCATGAACAGTTTTATCCAAATTGAAATTAAGTGTTCACTTTTAGCTGTCAGTTTGTAAGATTATATAATATGGAGAGCTTCCATCGATCTTAACACTGTAGACATACGCTACATCTGGATCAACAACGAAAGCGAAAAAATGATTAATTTGATTCCTATAAAACCCAGTCATTAATTTAGAATTTAGCATTTGAGTTTTTAAACTAGTTACTATGTTCTGATAATGAGGAGTATAGATTTAGTATCTTCTGTTTCATAGTTTTATATTTTACCATCGTCAGTCCTTTGTTGTGCATGTACTTTGTTTTCGTTAATGGTCCATTTTGCTCAGAATATTTTTCCTTCTCGCTGCTCTTTGAAACATTAACACTTCTTGCGTCAAAACAGGAACAGGTATATTACCTATTTAATCTACCTTATTTAATATCAAGTGTATCACAAATTGACCACTGTTTCCAGAACAATGTCCTATATGTTGCAGTACGTTTGAACCAATATTTTCATGAAAACAGATTGTTTTAATCTTTGTAATGAGTCGATCCCAGGAAGATGTTGAAATATATCGTATGCTTTTTAAAGTCGT